ACACGAGTGCGGTAGTCTCATCGTCATCACACATGATTGGTTATCTTTTTTAGAATGGTCCTGGGAGAAAGAAAACGTGTTAGAAGAGTATATAATTGTACAACAATGGTAATAAAAGACATATTAAACAACCCTTATATGTTTTTAGCTTCAAATTGGTCAAAATAGAGTCTGCAGTTGAAAACAGCATCAAGTAAGGTCAGTAAAAGGCCAAAAGCAGCACATAAGAACCCCTTTAAACTATTTTAGGAATCAGCTCTTGTCATATTGAAACCCCTGACCGAGTGTCCTATCTGTAGCTATTTCGCAGTTGTCTGATGACAGATGACAACAGGACCCAAGGATTGCCTCCTCAGCTGTCTAGAAACTGTAAGAGATCCACTGGCAACATGTCAGTTCACTACATCTGTTGATGACTCTCTTCATTGGAGCATTTTCAAGTGACCCTTATGAGATTATAGACATGGATTCCAATCCAATCTAACACAACTATAGTTACCTCTGCTTCATTCTGCTATCCTTCATTACTTCCAGTGCAGTTTCTTTATGCCCAACCATCAGTTTTCATACATTTCTCTAGCTACAGCTACATATATCACAGAGGATGAGCAATTATCAGAAAAGGTCTTTATCAGACAGGGTAAAATCAGCCAATCCAGAAATGTATGTTCCTTCCCAAGAAGGAGATGACGTGTTGGGTTATTCCATCTCAAATCTTTCTCTCTCTTTCTGAAGTAGTCCATAGATAAAGGTAGTAGCAAACACTCACCAAGTTGTAGCACAAGACTGGGGTTTCCACTGGGATGAAGGGCATCGGAGAAGGATGCCCCTTAAATATGCTGGTGGGTGGGGGGCGGGTTCAGAATTTCACACAACACCAAATAAGAGATGCTAAACAGCCCACAGCCTTTACTATATTCTCCTGCATGATTACCAAAATGGACAGATGTTTCTTTAAGTGGGGACAGATCCTCTTTGGTGGCAAAATAAGTATTGGGAAACTGTTTGTAATGATTTCAGATCCAAATGGAAGGCCAAAAGAAGCCAAGTATTCTTTCATTGTTCTCTTTTCATATGTTATGCAATGTTTTGTTTTATGTCATTTTCTGCTATAATGTGTGACAAAAAATTCTTAATGATGACTGAATGTTGCTAGATGTAATTTAGTCAAAGAAATATAAAGATTAATAGCATTGTTTAGGAATGTGGCTAAAGAAATATGCTAACTCTTTCATGACGCCATTCTTCTAAACATGCGCAATAAATACCATAGCGGTTATCGGACCATATTAGAGTTTTTTTTCTGCTGTCATCTAACACTTTTATAAAGTAATATTTAAAATAATAATAATTTAACACTGTTAAACTTCAGCAAATATCAAAATGAATGTTCCTTTTTTCATACTGTAGGCTACGTTATAATATAATGGGAAAACTAGTGTTGCTAATGTTAACTGAAACTAAAACTATTCAAATGTGTTACTATTACTTGAATACAGCTGAAATAAAATAAAATATATTTATTTGTTGGAAAACTTAAATGTAAAAAAAATTGGAAATGTTGCCTTGGCAGATCTATGACTGAAATAAAATAAATTTAAGTTGAAGAACTTAACAAAACTTAAGTTAGAACAAACCTTAAAATAGTTTAAAGTTAAATAAAAATATTCAAAAGTTATTAACAAAAGCACCTAACAAAATTACTAAAACATTGAAATTAAACTTTATAGTAATATCAATAAATACCATAATAGTGTAAAAATAATACTAAACTAGGCAACATTTTCTTGTACCATTTAAAAATGTATTATTATTTTTAGTATTATAGACAAAATATGATTTTGAAATATGAATTTAAACATTGACCACAATAGTGTAGTAATACTAAAATAATCTAAATAATCTAAATTCACTTTTACCATTTAAAAAAAATGTTGACAAAATAGTATGGAATTGTAATATAGACATTTTCTTGGCCAATCACAATCATATCATTTATAAAATGTAGGAAAAAGGAGACAATAGCACATGCAAAATAGTTGGTTTGTGATGCCATTACACACACCAAACAAATAAACTTAGAGGAATGTCAGGAAATCAAACATCATGACCTTTGACACGGAACAAAATGTGTAGAATCAGTCGGTCACTGTTGACACAGTGTAAAAAAATGATTTGACTTCACAGGCATTGGAAAGTTCAGAGCACAGACATGCGGGGTCACATCTAGGAGCCGGACCTGAGTAACACCACCATTGTCAAATGGCCTAGGCCCTGGTATGCGATCGGGCCCATAACATGCCAGACAGCTGAGAGGTGTGGGGGGTGTTAGGAAGGACCTGTGTCCTTTCTCTGCAACTGCTGTTCTCTGATTGGCTCAGCTCTGTCCTTTTAGGGTCATGGTGAGTGACAGGTGCTCCTGGCGACACATCAGTGCAGCTCCTCGGTGCTGCTTGCTTGGCTCCAACTCCTTATTTGTCACCTTCTCCCCCGTTATCTCTTTCACTCGACACTGTGAGAAAACAGAGAATGTTTCCTCAGTATATTCTTCAATAATTACGAAAAACTAGTTTGATTCTACGCATATAATACGGGTTAAAACTTTTTCATTTTCTTTCACCATTTGATGTTAAAGGTGCTATTGCCTCCTGTTATGGTTGTGGTGTTATCTTGTGTTGTTTCAGGCTTGGTGAACAGGAGATAATGTTCTATTTGTGACCCTCAAAGCTCAAACCTGACTGAAAAAAGCTGTGATATCAGCGTGATAGTATTTTCTAACCTTTTGTTATCAGATTTCTGGAGTTTCTTACAGACCCTTCGGCTTGCTGTGCCAAAGTTGGATTATGTGTGAGCATTTTTGAGCATCATCCTCTATCCTCTCTGTTAGATGTGCTATTATTAGCAGTTTTAACCGTAGCTTGATAGATATCTACAGCACACAATCCATTCGCATTCCCTTGAACCCTCACATTTACTGTGTCTGATACTAGCATCTTATTATAGCTCCGATGATGATGTTTACCAAAATGAAATTGCAGTGTGGTTTAGTATCTTTCAGATGAAAAGTGTGGCTGCTCAGGAAAGATAAATTTAGGAATTTGGGTTTCTTGTTGGGCTATTAAATTACAGTAACAGTTGTAGGCAATATTTACTGGGTTGATGATCTATTAGCGTCAGTTAAGAAGCACTGCTGTGTGGGAGGCCCAGTGGTCAAACAAAGCAGGCAACCAACACAAGCACTTTGACAGGGTTCTGTCTCCTTAAAAGGGCTTGGAGGGGACACAGGATTTGCCTGTTTCGGACAGCTGTGCTAACCAGTAGACCACCACTTGGAGTGTGCCAACTGTTGGGCCTAAATGCTTTTTAACATTCATTACATTGGGAACAATGGTTTGTTGATCAACCTGTTTGTGACATGAGCTTGCAGGGCCGTACCAGCAAGTATTCATATGCTGGGCTGTTGATATGCATCATGTAGTGTTTGTGTTTAAGGATGTATTCGCCTTAAGTATCAAATGTGAGTACATAAAACATAAGTAAATATCTCTATTTCAGAATATCCAAAACAAATGACAAAATGGCTAAAAAAAATGAGAGGGAAAATGACAGTAAATAAGTCAGTGCTGTTATCGTAAACTAAAACTGTTGAAAATTGTTTTTAATAATTGAAATAAAGCTGAAAGTATACTACCTGTTGTGCCACTGGGCTGTTTCAGTGATATGTCTGCTAACAAGATGTAATGTGTGTCAATGTGTCGGCTAAAGCAGCTGTTAACTCTTCAGAATTATGAACCACTGACAGGCATGCTAATAAGAAAACCCCCCTATAAATGATCCTCACAGTAATGTGCATGTCCCAGAGTCAATCACTGTTCATATTCAGACACCCATACTGACCTGACAGGATTGAAGCCTCACATTCCTGACTATCCATTACTGTGTTTTCACAGCAGTTACAACAGCACAGATCAACTGACAAGAAAATATATAGTTTTAGTAAAAAAAGAAAACATGTCAGCATATGTAAATAAGCATAAAAAAATAAATTAGCCTATTTTAAAGCAGGCTGGACAATCTTAACGCTTTGTTCTTTATGATTAAGGAATGAGTTCATACAACTTAGTTAAAACTAAGTTTCAAAATGTCCTGAGAGCACTTAGAGGAGAACAGCCAGTCACCAGCTCATGCCATGAGTGCCCCAGATAATGCCTACTATAAATATATTGAGAGCTTTAGAAGTTTCCATGTCAGAAATGTTGTCCATTACAGGTGTGCATGGAGCAAACTATATAATCCACTGAAGTGTACTTAAACAGAACATCAGGATTAACCTTGAGTTAAAAAAAAAAAAAAACTGCAATTGTGACTTTCATATTGAATGGCCAATAGTTACTGGCTTATGATGTTGACCAGCATACCAAGATCAGTTATGAACTTGTATCACTTCAAAATCAACCTCCAATATCAACAATCAAGAGAATATGGTTGAAGTCAGTTTGGGCAGAAGCTGAAAAGCTTTTTTATCAGCTGAAAGAATTCATTAAGCCTGTGTAGGCAACAACAAAAATGCTAAATGTTACACATCAAGTGGGATGTTTTGGATTTAAGGAAGATACATGTACCAAGACTATCATTTTACTCTCCTGTTCAATAAACTATTAAAGGGGCACTTTTATGTCTTACAAATGAAACCAAACTACCTTGAGCACTAATTCAAGTCTGCTTTAGTTTCACAAACAGTTTAGACTAGGCCTTAGTTCAATAAAGGCATTTAAGTAGCTTTAATAAATATGCCTTAAGAATTACTGGTGTGCGACTCAAAACAATGGCACTGACGATCTTTAAGATATTGCAAGTTGCTTTCAGTTAAAACAGCACAAACATACATTTTAGTCTGAGACTAGTTTAAGCCTAGTCTGAAACCAAAGACCAGAGTTGTAGACAAAATGTCTAATCCTTGTCTCTGCCACACCCTAGAGACAAAGCAATGAGTAGAAAAGTAGCAAGTAGATGGGTTCTTTTTATTATCATTTAAAACAACAAAAATAAAAAGTAATAGTATAAGACATCATTAAAACAAATGAATAGTTAAAGAAATCATGTAAACTAGAATAAGAGCGACAGAATCTCCTTAGTGTCCAAAGAGTCCATATCTTACACGTGTCCATTTAGGTACTCAGATTGAGTCTTTAAAAATCAGCATCCAGTCTGAAAGTGTTATCTGTAGATCCAGACATGACTCCCATCCGCTGGTACTCGCCAACTCGCTTCTCAAAGAAGTTGGTCTTGCCCTCCAAGGAAATGTTCTCCATAAAGTCAAAAGGGTTTTCCACTTTATAGACCTAAAAAGAAATTTAGAAAGTTAATGACACTTGAAATGCCATTTGTGAAGCTGAAGGCACAAAACATGCTTGATTTGTAGTCTGATATTAGCCAACAAGGCTAATGACCTGAGGTCAGTCACAAAGACTATACTACCATAAGCAAAGATGTAAAACTACCCCATAATACATTGTTTAACTTCAATTCAAACAAGTAAAATAGGCTTTAAGGTTTCCAAATAAACCTACCTTGTCAAATCCCAACTCCAGCAGTAGCCTGTCAGCCACAAACTCAATGTATTGTTTCATTAGGTCACAATTCATGCCAATAAGCTTTACTGGCAGCGCATCAGTCAGGAACTCCTAGGAAGACAAAGACAAATCACATGAGTTTCTTGCCAGTAGCACGCATTTCATTCAAAGCCGTTTAAACATTGCTTCTAGGGGTGGGGGAAAAAAAAAAAAAAACCTCAGATACAATGCAGACGATTCGGAATTTTCAAATATCGCTTTCTAAAAAAAAAAAAAAAAAAAAAAAAAAAAAAAGTCTGAAGCACGCTGTAGCACATCCAGTCTGAAATAACACTTGATGGCCATATGTACACATGCATACACACAGCTAATGTGAATTCTCCACCTCCTCACCAATATCAGGACCTCGTATTTCTTTCAGCCTTTTATTGATGGACAGTGCTACATTGTGCGAGAGATTATTTGCTCCAAGTGAGAATGTTTTAATGTGAAATTGAACAGTATTGTCAAAGTTTTCAATAAAAAAACATTTGCACAAAGCAAGCCGATCCACTTTCTCATGTCGATATGAGCATTAAAATTAGAAGAAAAAAAAGGGACAAAAAGAATATCAAGAAACACTTGAAAGATTAAAATGTGAGATTGAGATTAATCAAAGACGGAACTCTGAAATAACTCTGAAGTGCAGAACCCAGACCCGTGAAATCCAAACAGCCTCCTCAAGAGCTGACATGTGGAAATTTTCAGCCCGTTCTCATCCTTTAACGTCATATAGAACGCTATATGACAAAACGGCGCTATACTACGCACATGGCACCCGTTATCGTTAATATAACACGCGAACCCAAGACGTTATAAATCCTTTAGCGTGAATATGACACGCACACCCTACCCCACACCTAAACTTAGCCCTCACAGCACATGTTATATTAACGATAACGGGTGCCATGTGCGTAGTATAGCGCCGTTTTGTCATATAGCGTTCTATATGACGTTAAAGGATGAGAATGCGTTGAAATATTTAGGCTTCTATGCAGTTGAAGGGGGAAAGGAGCAGGACAAGAGCCACACTAGTTGTAATCTTTGTAGAATAAACTAAAATATTTCGGAAGACAACAAAAATGAGAAGCCATCCGACACGTTTCCACCCAGAGGAGGATGTACTGGTCATTGTTATATTAACTTACTAAAAGCATGCTGCTAGTTCAGGCACACATTTATTTTCCTGTTGGTTCTGTGCAATGTTAATAAAATATTGTATGTTAAATCTTTTTGGGTCATTACTTTGTACTTTTAAAGCAAAGTATAAGTATTTATAGCCACACACACAAAACAAATTCAGATAAATCTCTTTAACATCGAGACGCAGCCCCCTAAATCATAACTGAATCAGATTGTTAAGTTCCCAAAGATTCCCACCCCTAATAGCTTCTACACAAAGACTCTTGGGCTAAAAAAGACTGGCACTACTTGAAACAATAAAAAGGGACTGTTTCATCAAAGCACACAAACCTGTTCAATTTCAACTGCATTCTTGATGATTTTCTTTACAGTAGCTTCTGATGGTTTGTTGATCAAGTGCTTGAACATGAGACAGGCAAAGTCACAATGAAGACCCTGTGAAAAGAATGAAAATAAAACTTAAAGATCACATCTTCAACTTTCTCGCAAGACATTCAAAAGCATTAATGCCCCGTTAGAAGACTTCTCTAAATGGTTACCTCATCTCTGCTGATGAGTTCATTGGAGAAGGTGAGTCCAGGCATGAGTCCTCTCTTCTTTAGCCAGAAAATAGAAGCAAAAGACCCAGAAAAGAAGATTCCTTCCACTGCAGCAAACGCCACCACTCTCTCCCCTAAAAACAGAGATTTAAATTAGCTCAGGGCACAATTTAAGTCATTAGTAAATAAATAAAAACTGTAGTATGTTAGTACAACATACCGAATTGTGCATTTTTGTCACCAATCCAGTTGAGTGCCCAGTCAGCCTTCTTTTTTACACAAGGCATTGTCTCAATAGCGTTGAACAGAAATTCTCTACAGGAGAAAAAAAACCCACTTGATTATTAATTAGTTAAATGTCTAAATAGATTGAAGTTAGACAAGCACATAGTTTAAGGAGCTCAGTCACGGCGATATTTTCGTGCTGACACCCTAAAAACCAGCAGACCACATGTCCACTGATCTTGAGCAGTCAACACTCAGCTCCCATTATCAGCTGAGGTACGTACCCCTGCGCCACTCATCATTGCCCCCAATAATTCAAACGTGTCGAATAGCTCACCTCTCTTTGGGATCTTTGATGTAGGTATCAATTAACAGGCTGTACATTTCAGAGTGAATGTTTTCCATTGCAATCTGGAAACCATAGAAGCAACGGGCTTCTGTCACTTGGACTTCCTGAGTAAATCGCTCAACCTAAATAAAAAAAAATAAAAAAACATGCGATAAGAAAAGAGACTTCTTACATAAGTTAAAAAATCTTGTGAAAGTTTGCCTCCGAACGCACCAAGTTCTCATTGACAATGCCATCGCTCGCCGCAAAGAAAGCCAAAACATGAGAGATGAAATATCTCTCCTCATCTTTCAGGGTAACCCAGTGCTGAAGATCTTTGGACAGGTCAACCTTGGAAAAAAATAAAAATATTTAAAACACTGCAATATAAAAATCAAAATGTCCTGCTGCTTGGATGCTTGCTTTGATGTCATGGTTTTAAGAACCATAATGAGGAACAAACTTCGATTTCTTCTAGTGCATCAAATATACACTGAATCTCACCTCCTCAGCAGTCCAGAAGGAGGCCTCTGCCTTCTTGTACATCTGCCAGATGTCATGGTACTGAATTGGGAAGATGACAAAGCGATGGGGGTTCTCCCTTAAAAGGGGCTCATCCACCAAAGCTCCTTTCCTGACTTTTGTCTGCTCCTTAAAAGTAAAAAAATAAAATTAACCTTTAATCGCCAGAGCCTATTATGTTGCAAGTGAATGGGAGGAGCATAATTAATGCAAATTGCCACTTCATGTCCATGACACATTTTGAAGATTTGGGTTAAATTACAGGTATCTTCCGCAACAAACTATCAACTATGCAACATGTAAATACTACAAAATATTTCGAAGCTATCATTTTGACCAATTTGAATAAAAAGCTAGTTTCGCCAGGGTTTGTTGCTTCAGAAACCAAACCGTTTTCCCCATAATAAAAATGTAAAAGGTAGAGACTTCTTATAAAGCATTAGTATTTTTTTTTTAATTTATGCAGTTCTACTATAAACGTAAATGAGCGACACTCCCATTTTAGGTTACCATATAGCAGTCTTCAGGTATATTCGTCTTTACGAGCCATTGTTCTCATCACAGGCCTGGATAGTTTTGATAAACTAGCCCAACTTGGCGCCAAAATTGTATATTCGACTTTTAAAAAAATCACTCGAGAAATTAATAGTTTAAATTGGTATATATTTGACATGTAAATACTGAAGAAACGTGCAGGGAAGCAGTTAAAGTAAACGTAACGTTACCTCTGAATCATCAAAGATTTTGCGCGCCGTTTTAGACGCCAGAATTCTGGTGGAGTTCAGGCTGGGTGGCTGAAGACAAAAAGCACACATTTTACAATCGACATCATGACTAAGGGTTTAGTATTTGGCTCTCAATTCAACCCAAGTAATACTTTGTCATAGTTTATAGCATTGATCTCGTAAGAAAAAATAAACCATGTCAATAACGTAACGTACGTGTCTTAAAATTACACTTAACGTTATGAATATCGGATAACGCCTAAAAACGCACTTACCGTGTTTTCTTTGTCCACCAAGGACATGTTACTTATTTTTGCAGAAACTGAGCTTTCATTCTTGGCCTTCAGTGGAGAGCGAGTTGACATCATTGTGAAATTTAAATAAAGCGTTGGGTAAAACAGAAAACGAGGTTAATTTTAAAAAATATGTAACGCGACTTTTATAACAAAGCCAGATACAAATAAATAAAAGCAAAAGTATGAGCTTGAAGGTCAACAGTCCAGCTGAAGCGAAGAAGTAGAAGAGTGAATGAACTGAATGCTAGAGAATCAGGGATACTCTTTTATATCCGATATTTCGATTCTTGGCGCTCATTCTCAGCCAATAGGCAAGGGGAAAAATTTTACTGCTTTGTTTGTTCCTTTAAATCTTTCATCAGATGAACCAATCAGAATTCTCCACAAAGTCACGTGAGGACTACGCCTCGCGGGAAATTCAAACATTTGGGTGGGGGATGCGAAGTGTTACACAAAACCCTACCGAACATGTTACACAAGCAGGTTTAAAAGGGCGCGAATTAAGAAATAATAATAAAAAAACAGGTATTTATATTTTGTACAAAAACATTTCTTTTGTAATATATTGTGCGAAATGTGTGTTAAGGTTAACCGTTAACGTAAGGTTAAGGTAGACACTAAAGAAAATCTTATGTTTGCAGGATATTCTGGTAACCGTACACTTTATCATAATGAGTTGTTATAGTTTATAATTCCATTCGAACAGAATAAGGTGGAATAAAAATCACACGTAATGCAATTTAAATCACTCAAGTCTAGTTGTCGATTAAGTTGCATACAGATGCCACATTTAACAGCACACAAAATAAACATTGTTCAGGGTAAAACAACATGCCGACTGCTCTATGAGGAAAAACATTTCTCAGTGCCTCGTTTTATAATGAGCCAACAACAATCCAAAGCCTATTTTTTAACAACAAAAAAGCTTCCAGGAAATTACTTTTCGCGCCAGATTTGAGTTAAACAATTAAAATACATAGGTCAACCCGTACTATTATCCACAATACTTAAAAACTGATACTTTTAATGATAAACATTGACTAGATATGTGATCTTCAAAACAACTAACGTTAACTTCATAAAATCCAGGCGGAAAATGTTTTGCTTTTCTTCTTGTTTCTCTTGTCAACAAGCACAAAGATCACGGCGAGCATCGTTGATTAATATCAACTGTAGACTTCGATGTATAAAATGAGGGATTAACTTATTTCTATTTTAGTTACTATTAACGTTAAACATTTACACCACATAAGTTACAACTATCAGCTGTTAGGCCATTTGCTCACCACAGCCAAACCAACATACACATTCCTCCTTGTTTTGGTTATTTAAAAGTCGGGATAACACAATAACCCAAATAGTGTTGAAAGATGTATTTTACAACAGCGAAAATATTGAAATCCTTTGTTTTCTCATTAAAAATAATTTCAGGACGCGGGACAAACAGGACGAGCAACAACAAAAACGCCCAAGAGGTCACTTCCTGGGATAAAATACTGAATGATTTTGGGATACTGCTTCCTAGTGGAAGGAGGACAATAATCACAGAATTTATATGTTTGTAGAAACTCTCATCAGATAAATCGTGGTAAAGTTTAACATCTGCCCAAAAATATGAAAATGATCAGCTGCATACACATTATCTTCTATTTTACTCGCAGACGACACATTACATTGCTTATTTAGATACTATTGATTGATTCGACTATCATTTTTGAAATTATGATAATGCAAAAATAAAAACTGATCAAAATATACAAACACACACAAAACATTTAGCAGCTCTGAATGCGATAGTGGGATCAACACTGTTGAGGGAAATAATATAAATATTCGTAGATTAAACGATATTATCCAATAACCTGACTGTAATGCTAGACAGCAGGTGGCGCGCTTCACCTATATTAAAAAGTGCCGTTCGCATTAAGGAAAAGTTGTTAAAAGGCTATTATTATCATATATTCATGTTTTATCGTAAATTATAATAAATACAACGATTCTCTAAAGTATAACTAAAATAAAAAATTAATATTCCGTCCGCCATTTTTTTATCAAAAAGAGAGCGTCAAGTTTTCCAATTTGTATTTACTTCTTTCACTTTGGTTTAGTTAATTATCATTGAAACAGAAAAATACTGTATCTTAAATCGACTTTTAGTCCGCTTCTGTTTTGTTTTTTATTTTATGTTTCATTTTCCCGTTTGGAAATATCGGTCAGTAAGGCAAATGGGCGGAAACCAAGGTTGTCAGTCAAACTGCTGCTGCCATATTTCCAACTCGTCACCCTCTGTGATTGGTCGCGCCCCCTAACCGCTCCACAATAAAGCGATGTGATTGGATGAGGTTTGTTACTGGGTGCTTTGGGTTTAGCATTGAAGTTGAGCTAGTGTTGTGTAACTGTGACGTCACACCAGTCCGTGGCTATGTAATGATTTTATTGTTTTCTTTATCCACGTTTTACGCGTTGACTTGTCAGGCTGTTTTTTTTTTCTTCAGAGTTTAATCTCTATTTTTTGTAAAACATATTTGAAACAGTTCAAGTGGTTTTTGTTTCTTTCTTTCCTTTTAAGAAAAAGTAATGTTTTTAAAATGCCTTGAACACTTAATTTATTTTCATTTGTTTATCAGAGGTACCAAATAAAACAAATTCTATATTCTTACTACAAATGTTTATTATTAAATAATATGGAATATTGCAGGTAGTATCACATTACAGGAATACTGTCCAATTAACAGAAGTAACATCAATAACATTTATTTATATATCAACAATAAATGCTAATTTGAATACACATTACATTCATATAGATAGTAATATTTATATACAAATATACAACAAGAGTAAGTAACAGATGAACTGATGCAAAGACTTTGGCAAAGGGAGTAAAAACATATTGGGAGACATAACTTATATATAAAAGTAAACAAGAATTCCTTATAAACAACCATGAATAAAGTAAAAATCCAGTGCAATGTCACATTGTGTTATATACATGGATGTGTAGCAGCCTTGGTTTTCTTTTATTTCCCCTGTTATATGGTCAGTGGGATATTGTCCTGAGGTGACTGAAGTGAGTGGTCTGAGTCTCGACTTAGTTTGATACAGGAAGAAGCACACTAAGGGGTATGGAAGATGGTGCTTGGGAAGTGGCCATTTTGTTTACGTCACGAACTTCGTTAGGCCACACCGTAGATCTCTTGGTTGTCATATGACGGCGTGCGTGCTTGGTCAGGTGGTCGCTTCGCATAAACCGACGCTCGCAGACAGTACAGACGAACTTCTTTTCACCCGTGTGTGTCCGACGATGCCTGGAGAGTTCATCTGAGCGGGCAAATTTTTTGTCACACCCTTCCCAATGACAACTGAAAGGCTTCTCACCTGAGAAATAGAGGGATATGATGATCAATAAACATGTTTATGCATGCAACCTTTATTATTAATACAAAATCATTTTTTCAGCGAAGTGGATACAAACCTGTATGGGTTCTCAAATGAGCCTTCAAGTGGGAACTTTTAAAGTAAGTCTTCTTGCATCCTTGGAAGTTGCAGACGTAGTTCCGCCTGCGTGAGAAGTCAGACTGTGTCACTCCGCCGCTCTGACCTGAGGGCACGTACACTGGAGCGGGTGCCAAAGGCAAGAGCTTCGTGTTCCCAAGCGTAACAACGCCCTGCTGGCAGGTGGAGGATTGGGATACCTGAGACTGTGGGACAACAAACATCACAGTGCCCTGAGCCACAGATGAGCTCACCAGAAGCGGTTGAGAATGTGGAAGAATGGGCTTTGACCCTGAGGTCTGCATCTGAACTGGAGTCTGAACGAATGCGGAGATGATTCCAGTCTGCCCGTTAACAGGAAACACCTGACAGAGCACCGGCGGGCTGGAAATGGGCGACTGAGGAATGGCGGACTGTGAAGTGGGGATAGCAAAGCATGGGGAGCCAGGAGAAGGGGCCATTCTCTCCGTTTCTGCAGTGTCACATGGGCTGCTGGAGCTTTGCAGTTCTGCTTTGAGGTTGGCACTGGGCTCTGTGTGCGGTAGAGGGATTTCTGCGGAACATGGCTTCTCCTGCCCTGTGGTCGGAGACGGAATGTTGTGGTCCACAGATCTGTCGGCGGTGTGCCGGATAACACTGGTGGCTCTGCGCAGCGAGGACTGTTCTGCCATCTGTGGCGGAGCAGGGTTGAGAAGGACTGTGGTACTGGGATGCAAGTTGATGTGACATGCAGCCCTGTTGGTCAAGGCTGAGCACAGTCTGGGGTGCGGTTTGAGACTTGAGGAGGCCACTGAGGTACTGAGAACTGCTGTGCCTGAAGTTTCCGCAAAGCTTGGGCTGTGGGGAGGGGTCATGCACTGGTGGGAGAAAAGAGATTTGCATTGAGCATTGGGAATTTCCTTTAAGGCTGGAATATACAACATGATTTTTCATTTTCAGTCTGGACAAGTTGGCGAAAGTCACGAGCCAGTCTGCAGATTTTGGAATGTAAGAGATGACTGATTTCACAGAATTTCACATAGTGTATGATGGGAACAGACTCCAATTTTGTAGCTTCAGACTACAATTCTATCCAGCCAAAACATGTTTGTTATTTTGAGCCGATTTTAAAGCCAATATTGTTTTTATTTGTCATGTGTCTGTGTCTCCTAGGTGCATTCATTTATTGTGATCATAATGAAACTTGAGAGTCTGGTAAGGATGTGATAAGTCATTTATTGTATGATGACCAGTTTTGAACAAAAGTTGAGTAGTTTATTTCAGCCTAGTGCACTAGCAACTCTACACTTCCTATTTTGAAATAATGTGGGCCATAACAGCTTTCATTTATGCAGCATCCACAAACCATTTTTGGAAAAAATTATTTATAATGCTCACACAGTCCAATTTCGAGTCACTCACCAGTGAAGAGAGGGAGACCAGGTCTTTAGGGGACTCAGTGAGTTCAGGCTGCAAGGCGAGAGAATCGCAGGAGTCTGAGGTGGGCGTCAGTGGGCGAGGTTTGTGCGTCCTCTGGACCCAGGAGCTCATGCACACCAAAGCCTCCGCAGCCTCCAGGTCATTGTATTCCAAAGTGGAGGAGCAGGACTTCTCACTGTCATGCCTATTTCTCTCCATCATCACCTCACAGATGTCCACAAGACTGGACTATGGATTATAAAAAAAAAACACATTTCTTATTTTAATGCCACAGTGGGCTAGTTTATAACCACAACACACTGAATCTGAATTGACACCTTCACGATAACAGCTCCTATATTTCTATCTAATTCCATGACATATAATAAAAGTGGCAAGATGGTGATGTTTATTTGTTAAAAGCTGCTGCTGCCATTCATAAGCAAAGAAAGGGCCCCCAGTACTTTGCGCCTACACCCACCCTGCGCCTTGCATAGCGTTAACCGTGAGCTGCTGGGAACCTCCCATCGCCAAATATAGATTTAAGAGTGACGTGCACCCAACCAAAAAGCCATGTGAGTATGCCTTGAAAAAAAAAGAAAGAAAAAAAAAAGTATAATCTAAGTGGTTAATCATATCAAGACGTTTTCCACTAAGGTTACTATTTTTATCAAAGCGGAGCCCTTATGATACACCAAGTATGATAGGAAAATGCTGAACGTTGTTGTAGTAACACAAACAATGCATTCTGAAATAACTGACAATATGTATTAAGGACGAGAAAAATTATGTTCAAACTCGAGTAGGCTATGTTCAGGGGGCACATAAGGTCACTAACAAAAACAAACTGATGACAACAGTTTCGACGTAAAGTAGCACTGCAGCTTAATGCAGGAGGGTAAAGTACATCAATGATTGCGGCAAACGGCTCATGACATAATTTAATCAAAGCAATTTAACACAAAGAATGTGGTTCATTTCAAGTGTCAAGACGATCAAGTATATTTTTATTGTGTGTAAACAGAAATTATAAACATTGCTTTGCTTAAAGTCAACTGTTCTCCGTCAATGAGCATGGAATTATTTGTATGGGGCACAACTTACAGCAAAAGCGGATGTCATTAGTGGGTCAATGCGCAAATACTAAAAAGTAGCAG